AGTGGAGGTTCTGTCATCAGAATGTATTTAATGCCCTGGAAGCTGAATTAATGAAGCAGTTAGTTAAAGTTGTTGTAAACCTCAGACATGAAAGATGAACAAAGCATATCCCTCTATAGTGTGTGTTTGTCTCAGTTCAAAGCACTAAGTGTGATTTCTGCCAGCTGCTTCGTTCCTCTTCTATCAGCATGAATATGGTTTCCTGACACCAAGAGAAAAATGGTGATGGGGAAGACATCTAGCAGATTGACAGCCTTAGCTCTGTTCCTGTGAGCTGTTTGGAGGGGAGGGGGGTGTCTCTTACCTCCAATCAGCTCTCAGAGCTCTCCTTACTGATGTAACTTCATCTATCCGCTCCCTGCTTTTCAGAGCTCAGAGATCCTGTGTAAATTCTGCACTTTGAATAGATGTAGGGGACAGAAGGCCGTAGATAAATAGGTACAACTTGTGTAGGAGGATTTGTTTCATCTCTGTGTATCACCTGCAGGGGCGGACTGACCATTTGGAAACTCGGGCACTACCCGAGGGCCGGGGGTCAGTAGGGGGCCCCATGAGATGCCCCTGATACCTTTTTCATAGGCTTTTTTGAGTTTGGGTAAGGACACAGGGTCCCCATGATCCCCTATTACCCGGGGGCCCCATGAGTTGTCAGTCCGCCCCTGATCACCTGAGGCCAGTCACTTCACTGGATATATGTAAGGGTTTACAACCACTTCTAGGTTGTTGCAGTGAAGGGGGTGATGCAGAAACTGAGATTTATATCTTCAGGTGCTTTAGTGAATTTTGATTATGGACAGGTTTTCATTATTATCAGTGGTGTCAAGTCCACATTTTGCTGTCAAGAGTCAGTTTATGTCATTGTGATATTAGGCTTGTCATCCTAGCTGTTCACATCTCACGTAGCGGGAACCAGTGTTCACTCACAATCTTTTAAGTGTGATTTTCATGCATTTCCACGTCACACATAGGGCTACCTTATGCGTGATTGTCATCCAAAAGGACCTCCTTTGTTTAAAGGCGTGATTTCCTGTGATTTCAACAAGATCTTGTCATGCGACGATCACGCAAAATCACACCACATTTGGGGTGCCATTAAGAATGAATTATGAGCATGAGTTATGCAGGCGTCAGACAACAAATGAGCCGTGTGTCTCAAAAAGTGGATTGAAGGAACACAACCTTCAACTTGCCATTTATAGCCAATAGCTACTCCACAGTTTCCTCACCATTATTATTATTATTATTATTATTATACAGTATTTATAAAGCGCCGATAGTTCGCTCAGCGCTGTACATTACAAAGGGGGACAGAACATGTGACAGAACAATACCAATACAATGCAAAACATGAGGGGATCGAGGGCCCTGCTCTTTCGAGCTTACAATCTAGGAGGGAGGGGATGGTGGCACAGGAGGAGATAGCTGTGGGGGATGGAGTGGTAGGAAGAGTGGAGGAGGTCGGCAGGTTAGCAGGGGGAGGGGTAGGCTTCCCTGAAGAGATGGGTTTTCAGGGTGCGCCTAAAGGAGAGGAGAGTAGGAGATAATCTGATGGGTTGGGGTAGGGAGTTCCAGAGGATGGGTGACACCCTGGAGAAGTCCTGGAGGCGGGCATGGGAGGAGGAGACCAGGGAACTAGAGAGAAGGAGGTCTTGTGAGGAGCGGAGTGTGCGTGTTGGGCGGTACTTGGATATTAGGTCTGTGATGTAGTTCGGGGCAGTATGGTGGATAGCTTTGTACGTCAGTGTTAGGATTCTCAATTTGATCCGTTGCGCAATCGGAAGCCAGTGGAGGGATTGGCAGAGGAGGGTGGCGGAGATGGAGCGGTTGGAAAGGTGAATGAGTCTGGCAGCCATATTCAGGATCGACTGAAGTGGGGATAGCCAGCGGTGAGGCAGGCCAGTGAGGAGGGAGTTGCAGTAGTCGAGTCGTGATATGATGAGGGAGTGGATGAGCTGTTTAGTGGTTTCTGGGGTTAGGAACGTGCGGATTTTGGCGATGTTGCGGAGGTGGAGTCTGCATGAGTTAGTTAAAGATTGAACTTGGGGCTGGAAGGATAGGTTGGAGTCCAGAATGACACCAAGTACTCTGGCCTGCGGGGCGGGTCTGATGGTGGCGTTGTTGGATGTGATGGAGAAGTCAATGGGGGGTGGTGTCCGGGCTGGGGGGGAGGACAAGAAACTCGGTTTTGGAGAGGTTCAGTTTAAGGAAGTGGAGTGACATCCAGTCTGATATGTCGCTCAGTAGGTGTGTGATTCAGGCGGAGACCGAGGGGGTGAGGTCTCCATTGTATCCTCAATGTAACCCTCTTCCACCCTACATTCTGATTGTGTGGATTGTACACTTTACCTGCTGATAACCTTGCTGTCCCAGACTATGGGCATTGTAAAACACCTATACCAATGTTATGTACACTTATGCATTGTATTTGCACATAGTAAAATGAAAAAAATCAATAAAAATCCATTGGACGAAAAATTGGATTGAAGAAAGATATTCATGTTGTGTGGAGACCCCGAGACTAAAGTAAATGTCACACAAATCTATCTTTCTACCCCTCACCTCGCCCCTTCAGTCTCCTTTCGTATTACTAACCTACTAAGTGACATATCGGCATGGATGTCACTCCACTTCCTCAAACTCAACCTCTCCAAAACTGAGCTCTTAGTATTCCCCCCAGCCCATGCCCCCTCCCCTGACTTCTCCATCAAGATCAATAACACAACCATCATTCCCTCCCCTCATGCCAGGGTACTAGGTGTAATCCTAGACTCCCATCTGTCCTTTCAGCCCCAAATTCAATTGCTGTCTAAGATTGGCCATAGACGGGACGTTTATTGGCCAAATTGTCGGCTGATAAACGAAAAATCGGTCTTTGCTGCCACCAATGCTTACAAAAAATGGCCGTTTTTTGTAGATTTTCCAGCATGACTGATAAAAAGAAACAACAAGACCCGCGAAAATCGTCCGACGACATTACCCCCACTAACAGTGTGAATATCGGCCAATTTTTTTGTCCCGTCTATGGCCTGCATTAATCTTGTAGACTTCACCTCCGCAACATCTCCAAGATACGCCCGTTCCTAACCTTGGAAAGCACTAATCAACTTATTCACTCCCTAGTTATATCTCGCCTTGACTATTGTAACTCCCTCCTCATTGGCCGACCTCATCGCAGGCTATCCCCTCTTCAGTCTATCATGAATGCTGCTGCCAGACTCATCCACCTTACTAACCGTTCCACATCTGCCACCCCTCTCTGCCAATCCCTCCACTGGCTTCCCATTGCCCAACGGATAAAATTCAAAACATTAACAATAACATATAAAGCCATTTATAACTCCGCCCCAAATTACATCACCAATCTTGTCTCCAAATATCACCCAAACCGTCCTCTCCGCTCCTCGCACGACCTACTGCTCTCTAGCTCCCTTGTCTCCTCCTCCCATGCTCATCTCCAGGACTTCTCCAGAGCTTCCCCTATTCTCTGGAATTCTCTACCCCAATTTATCAGACTATCGCTTACTCTGCTCACTTTTAGGCGATCTCTGAAAACCTATCTCTTTAGGGAAGCCTATCCTGCCATCAGCTAACAAGGGAATCTTCTACTCTTCTTACCAGTCCATCCCCCACAGATATTACCTTTTGTATCACTAGCCCCTGACTCTTAGATTGTAAGCTCCCAGGAGCAGGGCCCTCCTAAACCTCTTGTATTGAACTGTATTGTCTCCCATTATATTGTAAAGCGCTGAGCAAACTGTTGGCGCCATAAATCCTGTATAATAATAATAATAGATGTCAATAGTGTTTTCAACTGGGGCAGGTGACTGTCTCTTGTGTGGGGATGGGCAGACACATGCTGGCCTCCAATGTGGGAGGAACCTCAGTCAGACCAGTTACCCATCTTGATTACTAATGTTCCCCCCTTCCACTCATCTCTTACCTTCTCCATTCATGTAAATGCCAAGTCTAACGTTTGTATTTACGACCATGGTGTCCAATCCTGGTGCCTCCGTAGGTATTGGGCGATCTTAGGATTGTGTTAATAAATAAAATTGTTCTGTTGAAGAAAAACAATTTGGTGTGTGGCCATGTTTAATTAGAATGACCAGTTCTCTTGACAACATACTGCTTGGACCCACCTAAAAATGATTTGCAGTTCAGGTGACTTTGGAGTGTCTGTGGAGATCGGGAAGATTGATCATTGGTCACCAATATTTCCCAGCTTGGAGATTTTCCTTCTCTGTAAGGCCTCGTTTATAATGGCTCATTGAAGGACAACAGTTTGGAATGCATAAACAATTCCGAGAGAGGTGTATTACACCTAGATGGCCAGGGTGCAAAGGGGCCTAAATTGCATAATTCATACTTTACCTTCATTTAGTTGCATTCAGTTTAGCTGCATTTGGAGAAAACAGAATTCTGTACATCCATGGGCAGAGAAGATACTCTGAACGTGGCTGAAGGCAAGTCTGGAGGAAAGAAGGGAAAGTTGATATATGATTGAAACATTTAAGTACATGAAAGGAGTGGATAAGGTTCAGGAAGGCAGTATTTTCAGTATGAAACCAAGATCAAGAACACGGGGACAGGACCTCAAACTAGCACAAGGAAACTTCAAAACGAAAATCTTAGAAAGTATTATTTTATGGAAATAGTAGTTGATGCTTGGAATAGACTTCCACTTCCAGCAGAGGTAGTGAGTCATGCATCAGTAAGCGGATTCAACCATTCTTGGGACAAATGTAGATCTAGATCTGTAAAAAACAAATATATATATAATTTAAAAAAGGCGGGGGCAGCCTTGATTGGCCACTTGGTCTTTTTTCTGCTGTCATTCTTCTATGTTTATACATTTAGCCTCAAAGGAACTTAATTTGGCAAGCATAAAGTTTGTCCATTCATTCCAGATCATTTCTGTGCATTTCAATAAACCAAATACAGGAAACCAGTGTGAATGTAGCCCAAGGCCGCCCATAGACAACTCATTTTTTTTGTTGAACCAGCAGGTTGAATGAAAGAAAATGACTTGATTCCCCCATCTGATGTGAATGGGTGAACCTCCCCACCAGGGGCGGACTGACAACTCATGGGGCCCCTGGGCAATAGGGGATCATGGGGCCCCTGTGTCCTCGCCCACACTCAAACCTCACCCAAAAAAGCCTATAAAAGGTACCAGGGGCATCTCATGGGGCCCCCTGCTGACCCTGGGCCCTCGGGCAGTGCCTGAGAGCCCGAATGGTCAGTCCGCTCTCCACTGAGCCATTGTATTCTGATGACTCTAGCTGGCAGTGATCATCGAAATTTTCCAACAGGGTGGTTGTACAGAAGTTGATCGGTAGAACAATTCTTTGGTTTCCATTATAAGGAACGGTTGATGTATTTAAAATGTGAGTTGTTAATAAAAGGCCATGTTGGCCATTTACTCCAAATGGTGTCATGTTTTTTGTAAAGTTTAATTGGTTAAGGGGTGGGGAGTGGTATGGATCAGTAATGGTGGAAGTAGGAGTGGACAAGCCTATCTATGGTGCATTAGTCAAGAAACCTTTTCTGCTGAATCAGCAAGTCACAATTTTTTTATATATTTCAAAAATGGACCACACTAAGGTCACAAATTGCCTATATAAATTGTGCAATCTTTAAAGTGATAACAATGAACAAAATATAAATACAATAGTAATAGTCAGTCCCAACATGTGAATAATTGGTGCAACGGTGCTGTATCTTTAACGGTGATACTCCATATTGAAATGACAAGTGCTTCACAGTATGGAGTATCACCGTTAAAGATACAGCACCATTACACCAATTATTCACATGTTTGGACTGACTATTACTGTTGTATTTGTATTTTGTTTATTGTTATCACTTTAAAGATTGCACAATTTATTTAGGCAATTTGTGACCTTAGCGCGGTCCATTTTTGAAATATTTAAGATTGTGTGTTTAGAAGTTCACATTTAGGACTGCTGCTATACAGGTATCTTATATATAGTCAATTTTTTCACATATACATACAATTTTTTTTCCTAAGCGCAACAGCACCCCTTTTCTTTTAAACACATTTTTTTTTATGTTTTATTCTGATAGGGGATTCATTGGATGTTAGCATTCAAAAATCAGCGATCTACTGTATGTTATACAGCTCCCTACATTGTGACCCGATCCCTATTCTATATTAAATTCTAACTCTAGCTAAAATTATATTTTGATGGAAGGGAGTTGGGTTAACAGCCCTGACACTTGTTGGGCAGATTCCTCATGACTTCCCATCCTAGTGATGCCCTGTCACATCCTGATATTCAGCTGGACAGGAAATTATTCTCTACCAGGGGCGGACTGACCATTTGGAAACTCGGGCACTGCCCAAGGGCCTGGGGTCAGTAGGGGGCCCCATGAGATGCCCCTGGTACCTTTTTCATAGGCTTTTTTGAGTTTGGGCAAGGACACAGGGGCCCACTGATCCCCTATTCCACGGGGGCCCCATGAGTTGTCAGTCTGCCCCTGTTCTCTACGGTGGGGACACAAGTAGAAATCTATACTTCACAGAGCCGCAGAGGAGCCTACAGAAGCTTCCCTCAGCTCTGAATTCTATTAAAGGTAGCACAATAGAGGGATGCCAGCTGATACATGACTCCGGGTACTAAAGATGACTTAAAGGATAAGTTCACCATTCATAACATGTTACATGTTACACCCATATTCAGGTTGTAACATGTAATAACATGTTATGAATAGACTGGCCTCTGCTCCCCCGTCTTGACAGCTAGCAGGGGATCTTCTCCTCCTGCTAGCTATCGAAATTAAAAAAAAACTTGGCCATGCGGGGCTTCACCTGCCTGGCCGCGTCACTCATTCACAGTCCTCTGTGAATGAGAAACTACAAGTCCTGACAGCCATAGTGGCTGTCAGCTTGTGGTTCTCAATGAACTACCACGGCACTGTGATAGTTCATTGATTCTTCCTACTGGTATATTTGTTTGCTCATACATCCCATATGGGTGCATCCCGAGGCAGGTGCGGGGTGTGCGGTCCGCACCGGGTGACACCGACCGCATGGGGTGACACCGGATCTGCTCCACGAAAAGGTAAGTTGTAAAGCAAGCCGACGATCCCCGCAGGATGGATCAGATCCATCGTGCGGGGATCGTCGGCTTTCTTTACAACTTACCTTTTCTTGGAGCAGGTCCGGTGTCACCCCGTATAGGTTGCATGCTGACGATCCTGCGGGGATTGTCAGCATGCAACCTATGCGGGGTGACACCGGTATAGCGGCAAGATGTGTCTCTCATGTAGATATGTCCCCCCTGAAGAAACTGCATATGTCCCGGTTTCAACCGTGTCATGCGCAGTTGCTTCAGGGGGGACATATCTACATGGGAGGCACATCTTTCCGCTATACCGGTGTCACCCCGTATAGGTTGCATGCTGACAATCCCCGCAGGATCGTCAGCATGCAACCTATACGGGGTGACACCGGACCTGCTCCAAGAAGAGGTAAGTTGTAAAGAAAGCCGACGATCCCCGCACGATGGATCGGATCTGCGAATTGAGAATAATGGATCGGAGTTACATCTACATGGGAGGCACATCTTGCCGCTACACCGGACCCACTCCAAGAAAAGGTAAGTTGTAAAGAAAGTCGACGATCCCCGCAGGATGGATCGGATCTGCGGATTGAGCATAATGGATCGGAGTTCGATCTATTATGCTCGATCCGCAGATCCGATCCATTCTGCGGGGAATCGTTAGAGGGGCTGTCACCAAGTGTTACCGCACCGGGTGACACCAACCCTAGGGACGCCTCTACATATGGGAAAGCAGATATACTGACAGGTCTGCAGGAGACCTGCATGGCACCAGTGATCTGCTGGTCGCTGATTCAAATGGTTTCCAGGGTCCTGTAACAAAAAATAATAAATGCACATTTTTTTACCAGGAAAAAAAAGTGTATTTATTATTTTTTATCAAAAGGTGAACTTATCCTTTAAATTACCACATATGACAACTACTTCTTAGAGTGTAAGCTCCCAGGATCAGGCCCTCCTAGCCCTCTTGTATTGAACTGTATTGTTGCTGTATTGTCTCCCGTTATATTGTAAAGCGCTGAGCAAACTGTTGGCGCGATATAAATCCTGTATAATAATAATAATACTAGGAGTTTAATGGCCATAGCAACCCTTTAATAACAAATTATTTACCTGCTTGCAGACTGCATAACTTAGTTATATGCGGTTCTCCTGCTCCATGCAGAGCGGCTCTCCTGCACTGCATCACGTACCTAGTACATGATCCAGCTCTTTTGGGTAGGGGGTGCGCGCACCCGCGCCGGCCAACCCGACTGTGCTGTGATTCATCACAGCACAAGCCAATCAGCAGGTCCCAGCCAATGATTGACTGCTGGGACCCACTGATTGGCTCAGTGATTCACAGACAGAGCTCTGTATAGAACACAGGTAACCCTGCTAAGCAGGGGGAAAAAAAACAAGATCCCTTAATAAAATCAGCACACAGCACACACCTAAACACTTCCTAGGCACACAGTTAACCCTTTAATTATCCCAGATGTTAACCCCTTCCTAGCCAGTGTCATTAGTACAATGTCAGTGCATAATATTACCACTGATCACTGTATTAGTGTCAATGGTGATGTCAGTGACAGTCAGTTCCCACTCAGTGTTAGTATCCGCCGCACTATCACAGCCCCACTAAAAGTCCCTGATCGCCGCCATTACTAGGGAAAATAAATAATGAATAAATAAAAATTCTAGTATATATATCATTTTCGTGCAAACCTTTGAATATACACTTATTGGGATTTTTTTTTTTACCAAAGACATGTAGCAAAATACATTTTGGCCGAAATGTACGAAAAAAATTTTATTTTTAAAATTTTTTTAATTGGATATGTTTTATGACAAAAAGTAAAAAATGTTTTTTTTTCAAAATGTTTAGTCTTCTTTCATTTATATAATAAAAAAAAACAAAATACCACCAAAAGAAAGCTCTATTTGTGTGAAAAAAATTATATAAATTTCATGTGGGTACAGCATTGCATGACTGCGCAATTGCCAGTTAGAGTAGCACAGTGCCACAAATGGCCTGGTCATGAAGGGGGGGAAATTGTCTGGAGGGCACGTTGATAAATAACATATAAATAACACATCACGCAGTATGAATGGAGCCCCAAGGTCCTAGTAGGTCTCAAATTAAGCTAGTAGCGGTGTCACTTAACAATAGGCCTCCATCTGCAAAAAACACCGACTAGGAGACAAACAGACCACAGGTACACCATAACAAATATTGGGAGCTGTTTCTCTCCCTACAATGTATGTTGGTGCCCCATGACAACCTACAAGGACCTTATACCCCCCCCCCCTCAGCTGGCACGACACAGCCACACAAATTACAAATGGCCCATCAAATAGCCAGTGAGCCAATGGTACCAGTATAAAGCGAGGGAGGGCAGGAAGTTTCTTCTGACTGAGGACCTCCCAAGACCCTCCTGCTGACCACCCCCTTGAAACCTCACCTGCTCTATTCCAACCACCAATCTGATAAGTCCCTGTAAAGAATGGTTTTCTTTAAAAATTGTCTACCCCCTCCTGGACCCAAGTCCTTTAAAGCTCAGTCATGCTGGCCCTCCATCAATGCTTTTCTTCTTGTACTCCGGGACTAACTTTACCGGGTGGTCAGTGGACTCGAGCACTTGGCAGGAGATGGGGGGGGGGGGGCATGTGCCCTGGATGCCCAGCACTGGTTTAAAGGATATCAAAACTCAAGAACAGAAACAGTCCTTAGAGGTGTTGGCTGCATTAGTTTTCTTTTTTCAGGCTAGGTACAAATGTTATCAGCTTTCCCAGTTGTCTTCTGTGAACTACTCAATGGAGATGAGGAAACCCACATGGAAGAAAAATATATTTTTAAAATATTCCTCCCAGATATATTGAAATGCTACAATTCTGGCCATATTCAATATATTTAAATATATATATATATATATATATATATATATACTGCATGTTGAAATGCGTTTTTTATATATATTACAAAATATATGATAAATATTTTTTAAAATACATTTTTTTAAAATATATATTTCAGATTTTTTTAACATATAAAAAAGTCATTTCAACATATAATTTTACATATATTTGTAAGTGCATTCCAAAAACGTAGATTAAATGTATTCTTAAAGACATACTTGAAAATGTAGTTTTAAAAATATTTTTCATATATTTTGCAATAAAAATGCATTTCAACATACAGTATATATATATTTAATTAAATATATTTATTTTATTTCAGGTACTTATATAGCGCTGTCAATTTATGCAGTGCTTTACATTTATATTGTACATTCACATCAGTCCCTAACCCTCAAGGGGTGTACAATCTAAGGTCCCTAACTCACATTCATACATACACATATTAGGGCCAATTTAGACAGGATCTAATTAATCTACCAGCATGTCTTTGGAGTGTGGGGGGAAACTGGAGTTCCTGGAGGAAACCCATGCAGGCACAGGGAGAACATGCAAACTCCAGGCAGAAGGTGCCATGGCTGAGACTTGAACCAATGACCCTTGTACTGCCAGGTGGAAGTGCTAACCATTTAGCCACAGTGCTGCACGCATACATTGAATAATTTTCGAGTATGTCTTTAAGAATACATTTATTCTACATTTTTGGAATGCTTTTACAAATATATGTAAAAATATATGTTAAAATGACTTTTTTATATAAAAATAAAAATGTGAAAAATATACAAATCACAAATTATTTGTGATTTGTATATTTTTCACATTTTTATTATTATTTTGAGTTTTTTAATAATAGCAGCATCCAGTGAGTGTATTTCCTCTCTTTATTATATTGGCGCAATGATGTTGGTATAATAGAAGTGTTGTATTTATTGGAACATTTCTTTGGTAACTAACTTTTTAGTGACTTTTTTATATGTTTAAAAAATCTTAAAAATATATTTTAAAAAATATATTTTTAAAAATATTTTTCATATATTTTGTAATATATAAAAAATGCATGCAGTATGTGTATATATATATATATATATATATATATATATATATACATATATATATTGAATACGACCAAAATTGTAGTATTTCAAATATATGTTCATATATTTGGGAAGAATATTTTTAAAATATATTTCAAATATATTTTTCTTCATGTGGGAAGAACTAGAGTTCTGTAGTCCAAAACAGGAGAGTAACCTAGCATGACAATGTTGCTTCTCTATAGCTATGGTACAGCGAGTGGGTGATGGCACCTCAGGACAGGAAATGCCTTATTGACAGGACCACCAGATGAAAATAAAGGGGAAAAAATAACAGAAAAAAGCAATGCAGACACCATATCTAGGGGTTCAAACCCCCATACCTACAGCCAGACCTGGAACTTGTGCAGCCTCCATGGACATATAGAATGGTAGCTCAAAACGCCTTTCTCCGCTTGCTGTTGAAAGATATAGATGAATAGGAGCCGCACATCAAAGATCTCTTCCTTTTAAGTGTTCTTTATTGAACCATCTATAATGTAGCTGCTTCCAGGATGCCCCTGCCTAGGAATCACCTTGCCTTAACACCTTTCACCGAAATGGCATCAAAACGGCGTGATCAATCTGTTCAGTGAAACGCGTTAAGACAAGGTGATCCTTTAGCAGGGACATCGTGGAAGCAGCTATATAATGGATGGTTCAATAAAGAACACATAAAAGGAAGAGATCTGTGTGGCTCCTATTTATCTATATCTTTCACCACATCTAAGGACTGCTGAGCTGTTGATTTGGGGTTTAGATACTCATGTGGCTGCATTTAAAGCAGTATTGAACCCCAAAACAAACATTTATTGTATTGCAGCTTTCCGATTCTTAGATGTGATGGCTTCATTAGTATTCCTTTTGGAGGCTCTCTTTTCTTTATTTGTACCTGTGATCTCACCAGTAAGTCTGTTTTTCAACAGAACAAGCTGTCCTGTAGTTGTAGCAGTTACAGGGTTGAGACAAACCATTTACTACTGACAGGGGTGCTTACAATGATCAGCTTTAATTTGTCTATGTAAAAACCTTCATCCCAAAAGGACACAAAATGTTGGTGTAACTGCTTATAAACTGTTTCTTCACAGTGAGAGCTGTGAGAATGTGGAATAGACTCCCTCAAGAGTTGGTTCTGGCCAGCTCAGTGGATTGCTTCAAAAAAGTCCTGGATTCTTTCCTAGATACACAGAATATAACTGGATCAGGGGCGGACTGAGTAACTCATGGGGCCCCCGGGCGATAGGGGATCATGGGGCCCCTATGTCCTCACCCACACTCAAACCACACCCAAAAAAGCCTGTGAAAGGTACCAGGGGCATCTCATTGGGCCCCCTACTGACCCCGGCCCTCGGGCACTGCCCGAGTTCCCAAATGGTCAGTCCGCCCCTGAACTGGATACTAACATTTATAGGTAAAGTTGATCCAGGGAATATCCGATTGCCTCTCGGGGGATCAGGAAGGAATTTTTTTTCCCCTGCAGGAGCAAATTAGATCGTGCTTTGCTGGGTTTTTTTTTCTCTTTCCTCTGGATCAACTTTGGGTGTAGGATTATAACTTTTTTTTTCTTTCTATGGTTGAACTGGATGGACTTTTGTCTTTTTTCTGCCAGACTAACTATGTAACTGTCAGTTTGTTATCTAAATCTGCTAATCAATATAACACTCCCCTCCCCCCCCCAGACTGACAATGCTGCTGTCCAAAGGTGCCCCCTGTGCTCCCTCTACTAGAGTGGGGGCATTTTAATACAGGAGGTATGTTACTGGCCAGATCAACAGGTGAAAACAAGCCTACAAAAAGAAAACTAATGCAGCCACCACATCCAATGATTGGTAAGCTGCAACTCGATACATTTTTCTGGTTTGGGGTTTAAAATCTCCTTCCAGTTTACTAGAATTAATGGTACATTTAAAATTATAATTCAGTGCTAAGAAGTTGCACAAATATCTATGTTATAGGCAGAGAATGTGATTGCTATTGTTATTTTGTTTTATTTTTATTTTGTGGTATTAGAAGTTCATGCACTTCACCTCCTGTGCCATAGAGGCACATACAAAAGCTGGGAACTGTGCAGCAGAAGGCTTATTACCCATGCCTGCCAACCAGCAGGCCACATGTCCTAGGGTGACAACACTGCTCCTGTAGAAGCATACATTCTGTGAGTGTTGTCACCCTAGGACAGGAAGCCCCCTATTGGCAGGATGAAGGGTGAAAACTGAAATAAAACAAGGCTGTGGGGATAAAGCAGCTTCCTCAATGCATCAAAGGAAATGAAGCTACCAGTAAGGGTCCTTTTAAACTGATCAATTTTTTAACAGGTATTTTTTTTTTTTTTTTAAAGCAGAAAAAAATGCATGAAAAATGCATCTCTTTAAATCCTATGGACGTCTTTACACCGGTCAGTTGTGTTTTGGTTTCCTTTTTAAAAGTCCAGCTTGATGCAATTTTTGGTGCATGTTAAAAATAACTGCACCAAAAACGTACCTCCTCATTGAAATGAATGGAAAAGGCAGCAAAAACACACCGCGTTTGCGTTTTTGGTGCCTTTTTTTTGGGTCATGTGTCAAATTTTTTTTTTCTTAATAAAATTCTTTTTATTGAGTTTTATCTATTACATGTATGTAACAACACACACAGTTACAACAGTACAAAACAGAACAAAAACAAAAACAGGCGGCCTCGCAGGGCCCGAATTAAACAACTAACAGAGACCATACTAAGGACACGTGTCTATTTTTCACAGGTACTGGCAACAAGAAATAGCAACAGGCGCACACACTGGAAATGCATTAAAAAACGCATATGCAGTGTATGTTTCTGGTACAGTATGGTTATACAGACTTTAACTCCTGGTTCACATACATGTGGCTGTGCGGGCCGTGTTTTCCATGGGCACGAGAGCCCATTCATTTGAATGGACTCCCGTGCCCTGTGACACACAGGGAAGAACTCCCTGCACTTCTTCTGAAAACGCAGCCCACACGGGAACTTCGGTTCCCAGTATGGTTGCGTTTTCCAGTGCGGGTAGCGTGCCATTAGAACGGGTCCGCATTTCTCTGTGCGGGTGGTGCGGCTGCACGGATTTTCGTGTGGTTCCGCAGCGGCGGCACCCGCACAGATGTGAACCTAGCCTTACTGCTTCCACGCCACCCTATAGCAGGAATACCGCTACAGGGCGGCACAGGTGCGCAAAATCACGTGTACATACGTGATTTTGCAGTTCTGGGCCACGGCTGTCAATCGCTGTGTCCCGGCCGGTGATTCCCCGTCGGCACCCGGCGATCTCTGAGGATTTCCGATGGGGGAGAGACCTGTATTTAAACAATACAGATCTCTCCCCTGTCAGCTCCTGCACATTGCTTTATATGGCTCTGCATAGCACAGCCATACGAAGCAGTGTGCTTACAGTCAAACAGACACACAGCCCCCATAGTGAAATAGCACACAGTTAACCCTTTGATTGCCCCAGATGTTAACCCCTTCCTGCTCAGTACCATAGTGTCAGTGCTTTTTGTTAGCACTAATTTATCTATTTATTTGTTTCAGGTACTTATAGCGCAATTTACGCAGCGCTGTACATATATATTGTACAGTCACATCAGTCCCTAACCCTCAAGGGGTGTACAATCTAAGGTCCCTAACTCACATTCATACATACACATACTAGGGTCAGTTTAGACAGGAGCCAATTTACCTACCAGCATGTCTTTGGAGTGTGGGAGGAAACCAGAGTACCTGGAGGAAACCCACACAGGCACACAGAGTGACTAATTGGTCAGTCCGCCCCTGCGCTGAGAATGTTAGTGGCAGTTAGTCTGTTCCCCCCAGTGTCAGAACGCCCGCTGCAGTCCCGCTATAAGTCACTGATCGCTGCCATTACTAGAAAAAAACAAAATTCCAGTTTATAAACCGCCATTTGTAAACGCTATAACTTTCATGTAAACCAATTCATTTACAGGTTTTGGGATTTGTTTTTGGCAAAGACATGGAGCAGAATACATTTTGCCCTAAATTTATGCCAAAATTTGATTTTTAAAATTTTTTCACATGTTTAATAGCAAAAAGTCAAAAATATTGGTTTTTTTTTCAAAGTTGTCAGTCATTTTTTGATTATAGCGCAAAAAATAAAAAACGCACAGGTGATCAAATACCACCGAAAGAAAGCTCTGTTTGTGGGGGAAAAAGGATGTTAATTTAATTTGGGTGCAGCCCATGTGCATGACCGCGCAATTGTCAGTTAAAGTAATGCAGCTCCGTATCGCAAAAAATGGCCTGGTCAGGAAGGGGGGGAAATCCTCTGGAGGGAGAGGGGTTAAGGCAATGTGTCCATCAATTGCAGAGCTGCAGGTGACTTCTCAGACGTATAACAAGCACAGATCCCGCCGCTGGGGCTGCCTAAAGAATCATAGAACAGCTTTTCCTAAAGGGCAGCCATTTTTCTGTATACAGTTACTGCAGTGTCAGCATCGGTCTGTTCATAGGATGCACAACATCAGCCGCCCATACTCTGCTAGACGCTGTGCCAGCCTGCCCCTTGCACACAGGGCGGTGTATTGTTAACCCCTCCGGACGCATTATACGAATATGCCGATTTGGTGACAGGCAGCGAGTGATCACCAATCTAAAGGGCCCATTGTGACAGCAAATTCCATTGTCATCCCTTCTGACTCCATTTCTCGCCTTCATCTTTATCTTGATATTTTTTAGCCCCTGACGCGCGTTCCTTTTGGCCGTGTCAGGCCTAGTCTCCAGGTGGAAATTAATGGGTTATAGCGGGGTAGGTCTTGCTGGTTCTTAATACAATGCTCAGTTTCCATGGCAACTGGGCCAGTAGGCCTCAGGCCTGTATTTCTGGCATGGCATTGACAGATGTCTGCAGAGGAATTGCAGTGGGTAGATGAACGGAAGGGAAGTCGGTCTTTCGCACACATGCTCTCTGAAAATGAAGCGTGTTAAATGTATCCCCGACGAGGCATACAGGAGAACTGTCCCGGCTGTGATTTAACTACAAGTAATGGTGGGCCATACTCATAGCGGGTGGCGTTCCGTGGGCGTCCGTGGTTTATGAAGCTTTGATGAGGGCTCTGGAATGGAAGATTTGAATTCGATATTTGGAGCAATGATCCTTGTCGTTGTCTTTGGCGCGCATCGTCTTTGTGCGTCCTGTTCTGCTGCACTGCAGCTCCTTTTATCTCTCTATTCCAGGATGTCTGCGAACATTCAAATTTATCACGGTGTAGGTAATAGTTAAAGCGTGTCTAAACCCCCCCAAAAAATGTAATATATTGCAGCTGACCAATCCTTAAATGTGGTGGCTGCATTCATTTTCATTTTTAGGATTTTTCCCCCTTTCTACCTGGTTGTAGGGGGGTTCCCCTTCACATAGGGCCCTACCTATCCTGGGCCAGTGCCGTGGATAAGGGGGTACCACCAGCCCTCCTGTACAGGGCCCAGGCCAGCAGGGGGGACCAGACAGGTGGGTGAATTGGATGTGGGCAGAGATGATGATCAGCATGGCTGGGGGGGCAATTACTGGGACTGATCCTCTGTATGTTTCTCTGCTTCAATTGAACACTGGCTTCTTCTCCGCTCCCTCCCACTGGCTTTCAGCTGAAGCAGAGAGAGTCAGACAGGAGATTGGTCCAAGTAATTGCCCCCCCCCCCCCCCCCCCGCTGCACCCATTACCCTTGCTGTGCACCATACATTTCCCCTTAATGCCCAGGTCCCCCCCTGCGTGCCCCAATCCCCAAAGTGCTTCTGCCTTCCCTCCTGTCCACCAGCAGTTGCAAGCACAAAAAAAAAAACCCTCAGGATGGAGAGTGGGGGAAAGGTCTGGTAAACATGTCACATTTACCAGCCCCTTCCTTTCCTGAATGAACACAGTGAGTGATCGGTACCAACAGTTGGCTGTATGTTTTCTAACAGCAGCCCTGTCCTGGGCACATTCTGTAATTCTGCCCAGGCCCACCCAGACTTGCTTGTTTAATAATACGGATTCTGGCGTGAGATTGGCTCACCCCATTTCTCCTGATTCGCATCTATAACAACCCCAGACGCATTGTTCTCCTTTACCAAAGGTCCATGCAGATAAGGGGTGTCTGTAGACAAAAACAAACTGTGCAGCTTTGACCAAAGTTGAATAATGCCCTTGCTATAGGTGAAGGCTATTTTCGTACCTTGTGAATTTGTACGATGCTAGGAGAAGCCTAATATTACTGCTCACATTCATCATCCCAGAAGCGAGCTCCTGCTGATTCCAACCCAATCACATGTGCTTTCTCTCCATGAACCTGTAACTTTATCTCAGCATTTGACAGCTCACTCCAGTGATGCTGAAGATGAACAGTGATAATAGGCTTCTCTTAGGAATGTCATTAGCAATGTCCTAGAA